GGAGCTCTCCAAGGTGATACACTTGGTCTAATAAAACCTTTGTCCAACAATTCTTGTAATTGAATCTTTAATTCTTGCAACTCTTTTGGAGCCATCCTGTATGGTGCCATTGCAATGGGCGTTGTTCCCGGCATTATCTCAATCTAAAATTCTACCTCTCTGTCCGGAGGTAAACCTGGCAATTCTGCAGGAAATACATCAAAGAACTCTCTAACAATAGGAATTTCTTCAATCTCTTTGTCTTTGCCTCTTCCATCCAACACACTAGCAATGAACCCTTGACATCCTTGTAACAGTAACTTTTTTTCCGTCATCACTGAGATCACATTTGCCAATGGATTCCACTTTTCACTAAACACCACGATTTCTACCTCTTCTGGACTTCTCAACGTTACTCTTTTCAGTCTACAGTCGACATTAGCATAATAACGATATAACCAATCCATTCCCAGTATCACTTCAAATTCTTCAAAAGGTAATTCCATCAAATTAACAGGGAATTCAATTCCCTGAATTCGTATGGAACACTCTCGACTCACCATATTTACCCGAGCACTGTGTCTTAATGGATTCGTCACTACCACCTCATTGTTAGTAGCTTCTAATTGAATGTTCAATTCTCTCACTAACTTACTAGTAATGTATGAATAAGTAGAACTCGTATCAATCAATACCATAACTCGTTTATCAAACAACAAAAAGGTACCTGTTATAATCTCCCGGTCATCCCGATCCTCATTGGTCCTGAGATTATATACTCGAGCAGTGGAACGTATCTCTTGTTGAGCAGAGGACTCTGACTGATTTCTTCCTCTGCCTCTACCTCTTCCCCTTTGGCCTGTAGAAATAGACCTCTCTGGCTGTGCAGATTCATCGACTACTCTAGGATAATCCCGAACAAAATGTCTAGTCTCCCCACATCTAAAGCAAGCTCCATAAATCCTTCTACATATCCCATAATGATTCTTTCCACAATGTTGGCATTGTCTGTCTTGACTCTGGTTAAATCTCCGAGCTCCAGATCCTGCTGATTGAGTTTGTCTGCCTCTCATCGGATTTGATCCTCTAGCTGAGGATACCACTGACTCCGATCTAGCTTGAGGTCGAGAACCATCATCTCTGCCTCTTTTTGACGGTGCAGAACTCGAAGAAGCACCCGTTCTCTTGACTGTTTGAGTCCTTGAATTTTTAAATCTCTCATTATGAGCTCTTTCTAAAGCTTTGGCACGATTGATTACCTCTTGAAACGAGGATAGATTCAATACAATCAACATCTCCTTCAACCGAGGACGTAACCCCTCTACGAACCACTCACAAGCATCCTTCTCAGTAGGAACAAGCTCGGCAGCAAAGCGACTCAACTTATTGAATTCACACTCGTACTCATATACAGTGTTATTCCATTGCTTCAGATTCATGAACTCTTGCTTTATTTGACGAACAAATTGATCTCCGATGTACTTATGTTTGAATTCTTCTAAAAACAATGACCAAGTTACTTGGGTGTTAGTCATCCTCAATGTAACATTGGTCCACCAGATCCTTGCTTGTCCTCTCAACAAGGAAATTACTCCATCTAGCTTCTCAGCATCGGAACAATGAAGTCCCGTAAGCATGACCTTCACGTCATTAAGCCAAAGGTCCGCAGTAACAGGACCTTCATCGGCTTCCCCTCTAAACTCTGGAGCTCCTAATCCTTTCAACTCTTTCGCAACATTCATTTTTGGAGTTGAAGTAACAGGAGGTTGAAAACGCGTCAATACCACGTCTAAAGTTCTAAAGAATACATCTTGATCATTCACATGAACTCCAGAGGGTGTCTATTCTTCACTCTGCCTGGCCAGGGCAGGTGAATTACTACTTTCAGCGGGTATATCATCTCCCACTTCATTTCTAGAACTACCTTGTCCGGACATCTATAAAAATACAATCATATAGTTCTATTAGCACAACAGTATACTTACTATTCTATTAGATCAGAAGTTTTCACTATTTTGTTGGCATGTATACCTTATAAAACACTCAAGACTCCGGTTTATGCCAAGAATCGACTAAACTTTAGCTCTAATGCCATTAACTGTAACACCCCAACCCGTACCCGACCCGAATACGAGTATGAGGTGTCACATTGACTTTTCAAACCTTGACACTTAAAGAAAAACCCCGGGGAATTTAAAACTTGGTTTAAAACAAAATACTTTAATTTACATAAAAGAGTCCACAAAATACAAACTCGATCAGAGTGTTCATAATTAACGACTTATTACATGCCAACACTCTATACACAACAAAATACATACTTTGTCAATTACTTCTGATTTGATCTTCTAGTAATAATATTGTCCTTGCCACTTCTATTCTTGCTCTTCACGTTTCTTGGTACCTACGTGTAAATCACTTACACGCTAAGTCATAGACTTAGTGAGGAAATAAATAAACATGTAACAGTAGATTCATTAAAATGCATTCTTACCATTTGATCATGATATTTCAATATGCATGGATATATTTCCTATGACATATATAATCAAGTCATGCACACATGAAACTTACCTTTTTGCATCACTTTCACTTTAATTTATATTTCAATTGTTGTTGTTGTTGCCCATGTATATTATTGAGAATAGAGGTATGTGAGTACATTGAGGTTGTGCACTAATGCTGTCACCACAGCTCGTATAAATTCCCTCATGGGGCACCGAACATTTGTTCAGTATTCGTCCCGAAGGACTGCTATATATGTCCCGAAGGACCACTACGTCCCGAAGGACTACAATACCCTCGACTCTTGGCATGCCAACTACACCTATAGCTCTCGTATCATATACTATGGGCATTTATTTTGAATATATTTCTCATCACTTGTTCTTTCTCTTCTGTCACATACCACATGTATGTGTAACCATATATTTCATATCATATCACATATTGCATATTCATATGTCATTTCATATATTCACATAGCTTATTTCATTTCACATTGATCATATCTCATAGCATATATCACATATGCATATAATCATGTATATCATATCATATATCTTATGTTTCATGCTCTTATGTTTATGCATATCATGTATTCATGTACATATAAGAATCACATATCAAATAACATTTTAGGAGTCACTTCTTACCGTAGTAACTCCATCATTGGCTCATCGCAAGCCAATGTTCGTTCAATAATATAAGTACAATTAAAATTGCACTCACCTTAGCCTTGCTTTGATTCGATTATAATCCTTTGATTATTCCGGAACTTGTTTAGGCTCAATATCTACATAAATATATCATTTCAAAACAACTATCAGAAGCCTAAACTTTAAACTTGATGTTAATAACTTAAATCGGTTTAATGAATCAAATTCCATTTTTTCATTTAGGGGGGAATCGATTCCCCCCCAGGGGAATCGATACCCCCTGGACATTATGGAATTTTTCGTCCAAGAGGGGGAATCGATTCCCATTCATAGGGTATCAGTTCCCTCTACCCATAAATTGTATTTTAACCCCAAAAATCATCAATTCTTCACTTAATTCTTCTATTTTAAACCCCTATCATGTCATTAAACTCAACTACCATTACTTAAACCAACTTATATCCATGAAAATCATCTATAACTTCAAAATCCTGTCCTTCATATGTAATTCAAGAATCATACTCCAATTTCAATATGTTCTAAATACAATTTTAACACTTTATATTCCTTAATTAGCATGATGACAAGTCAAATTTAACTTCAAATTCAACTTATCAACTCTTTTCCATGATTTCATATAAAAACTCGTTTTCTTAAATCTCTTATAACTTCTTCATCTTTTGATTATAAGACAACTTAAGCTTTCCTTAAGCTTAGTTTTCATCTAATGATTAAAACCTAACCTTTAATTTAACAAATAACCAACAAATCAGAAAACCCTTACCTTTGCCTAGCTTCCACGGTTGGGAGAAAAAGGAAGGAAGAAGAAAGAGTTTTCAGATAATTCTTTCCCCCACCCCCACGTGATTCATTCATAATATTGGGGAAATATCTTTCATGCTAAATGACTATTTTGTCCTTTAATTCCTTTAATAATTACTAACAATCCTTCCAGGTAAATCATTGAATTATCCAATTATTCTACTTTAATCACCAAATTCTGAAGTTTTACAATTTAGTCACTAACCCGTATTTTGGGGTGTTACATTAAGGGAAGATTGCGAGAGAGATATGAAGTGATATATGCTCTTGGTCCAATACATCTAATGGAGAAGCAAAGAGAGCTTTTGCATTATAGAACCATGATTGCGTATACTATTGTCAACATTCCATCAGTTTCATAGATCATAAAAATTTCATAATTATATTGCATTGTAGAAAAAATATTAACATTTAAAAAATTATCAGTTAATGAGTGTTCTAATAAATTTTGTTATTCAAGTAGAATTCATTCTAAAATGACAACCTTTTAGTTTGGGTGAATAAATCATTTTCTAACGTGATTTTTCAGTCAAATTTCACTTGTTGAGAATGCTTATATGCCAACAAATATATTTATGAAACCAGAAACATTCCCAAACTGTTGGAACTCAAGTGTTACTTGAATCCGCTATACTATTTCGAGTTGGATAAAAGGATTTTCCCTTCCCTTCTGCTCCTTAAAACCAATGTATTATATTATGTATGATATTTGATTCGGTTAATAAAATGTCGATACTTCCTTCAGAAAAAAAATAATGATATTTAATTTGTTATTATCCTTTCCAATAATATATTATGCCCATAGATAATTCAGAATAATAAAAACTTATAGCATCTAGATTAAGCACATAAATCAGTCCAGATTATGTTAAGCAGTGTACCTATTAACCATTAACACAACATCGAAATAAATTAAATCATCTTAGTATACAAGGGTATTGCATGAATCTTATCAATTTAATAAATTGAAAAACATGATCACAAACATATACCAACGTTTTAAAATTGCAGTTGAAAACAAAAAGCCTACCGTCTTTAACAAGTCATTTTGGACAAAAGCCAAATGGCAAAACTTACTTCTTATCTTCTTTCTCTGCCTCGGCGGCCTTCTTCAATTTGGCACCAATGTGGCGCTCGTTCATTTGTTCCACGCGCAGCTTGTTATAGGCCTTGAACGACTTCATCTCTTCCGTGACCTTCACAAGCTCAACCGAAGGCTTCTCAAGAGAAATAGACATATACGGTCCGTGGACTTGGGATGCAGTTGAAAGCTCTTCAGCAGTAGAATCACCAGACTACATGAACAAAAAGCAAAAACAATGTCATAAACAACATACTAAGAGGTATTTCATGTTTTAATCACTGCAGACCTAATGAAAATTACCTTGAACTTGCAAGGGCATCTTGGGAAGACAACAAGTTTGGCCTTGTAGGTCTTAAGCCTCTGAACATTGGCTTGAAAACCTTCAAGAGATCTGTTCTTACAGCGATGATCGATAGCAATACCGATTGTGGGTGCAAGTTTCTTTGAAATACCAACAGCCTGACAAAAGAACCAGTGGGTGAAAAATTACAACAGATTTTGCTTGTTCATAAACGTTGTAGACAATAATGATTAGTAATCACAGGTCAGATAACCAAAATGTTTCTTCCACCACCTCAAATTACTGCTACCTGGTAAAAAATGATTGAATATTGTGGTACAAAAATTGCTTGAATAAGGTGCAACAGAATTTATTCCATGATCTAAGATGATTGTTACAAATAACAGAAAAACTCGCCATGATCACATGGCAATTTCTGCTCCTCTGCATCGCCCTTTGGGTTACCTGCATCCAGATAATAAAATCACCTTGTAGTCCTGGTAAATTATTCAATTACTGTAGCAATCACCCTAGATTTTGAATAATTTCTGGCGCACCTTATTCAAACAATTTATTTTCATGACAATATTCAAGCAATTTTGTACAACAACCTGTTGCTATGAAATTTATCAAAAAGTCTAATCTACAACTAAAACAAGAACAAAAACTACGCCTAAGAGAGAGATCAAGTGCTTCAAAACATAACAAAAAAACCGTGTAAAGTAAATTGAAAAGAGAAAATATCAAACCTTAAGCTCTTCGAGAGTGAAACCCTTGCCAGCTCTCAACTTCAAGTTGTACTTCAAAGTCTGGCCATGGACAATCGGACGAAGAGGTCCAGCAGTAGGCCTTGGAAAGATCCTTACTGCCTTCTTTTGCCTTGCTGCAAAAATCCCAAATCCAATTAATAACAGACCAATTCCAATCATTCAAAAAAACATGGGAATTCATCAATAAAGAAAAGAAAATCCACCAATTCTTCTTCTTCTAGCCTTTCTTGCTGGCTGGTTAAACCAAGTTTTCACATAGTTCTACCAGTGCTTCTTAAACTGAACATTTGGAATAACATTGTTGTGCTTGACCATGACTTACTTGTAATTTTAGTTTAAAAATCAAACAAAATGATAGAACGGGAGAAAAAAATTTGACGAGAAAGAAGATAAGCACCTTTGGTTGGAGGTGAATAGAAGATACAGAAGAAGATCGTCGCGACTCGTTAATGCAAGATGAACCCCCTAGCTATCTTTCTAGGGGATTTTAGACAACTGCTTATTTATAAGCGGGTTGTTTTTTTATACGACGGTCAATTCATGTAACCTGGAACTCGGATGGGCTAAAATAAATAGGCTGAAATGTTGATATATATATAATATTAGGGGTAAAGTACACAAATAGTATCCTAACGAGAAAATATTATTTTATTGAATCTCTCGATCATTAAAAGTTATAAAATAGTACCCTAACTATTCATTATGTTCTAAACTTGTCTTTTTCGTTAAAAAATTAACAATTGTCTGAGCTAGATGTTAACATGTTGAGTGAGATATGATAGTCTTTTAAGATCATATTTTATCATATCTAAGTTAATAGGTTAATGTCTAACTCAGACTACCATCAATTTTTTTAGTGAAAATGACAATTTTTGAACTTAATGAATAGTCAGGTGACCGTTTTGTAACTTTTAATAGTCGAATGATTTAACAAAGTAACGTCATATAATCGGAGGATCATTTTGTAACTTTTAATAGTCGAATGATTCAATAAAATAATATTCTATTATTATAGACCATTTATATACTTTATCCTGATATTAGACTACCCCTCCCTATACTTTGAAAAAATAAAAATAAATTTTGAATGTAATATTTTTATTAATTATATGGATACATTGTTGAATATATAAATTTAGAATTGGAAGTGTAATAGCACGAACTAAACCAACTCGATAGTAAAAGAATTTTGTTATTATTCTTTAAAGTTATCTTTGAATTGCATTATACTTACCTAACATTAATAAGAAATAGAAATATAATCAATATGATAAATATAATCAATATGATAAACTATGTAAAATATGGATGAATTAAAATATAATACAAATATAATATAATGATAAAATTAATAAAAATCTAATGTAGCTAATATGAATGGCAACACAAATATAATAAAAATTAAAATCTATGTTGAAAGAATTATTTAAATGTATACAATTTATAATTTTAATGTAAAAAATAATACAAATATTTTAGGAATATATCATTTTTTCTTAAATCGAATAATTTGAATAAATTATTTAAAATATGACTATACATTCAGATTTAACCTCCAAAATCCATTAACCAAGCTCTTAGAGACCATATATTCAAAGATTCAAACCTCTTTGAATTACTAGAGCCTCCAAAAAACCCATCTACTCCAAATACAATAATATCACGACTTTCGAACTAGTAACCGCACATAGATAAGACTCTTGACATGTCAATGTGACCTATCAGAGAGGAATCTAAAATATAACAATCATATTTATTTATCTCATTAACCTACGAGAAGTCATAATTATTTTACGCTTGACACCACTAATTAGGGTCATTATAAATACCTCTTAGTCACAACTGACAATAGGAATCTCTCCCCACCATCTTCTCCATATAGACTCCCATATTTTCCTCACTTTTACATATCGATTAACATATGTTATCTCACTAGTATTATTATTTGTCCAAACCAGAATAAATGGTTTGATAATAGTTGACGCGATCAACTTATTCCCATCAACACTATATCATAAATCTCTCTATATATAAATCCATATTCTTCTTAAATTACATTATATAAAATATAATATAAATGAAATCAAATAAAAAATATTACTTAATCTAATAATAAATTTATAAATTCACATTTTTTTCTTAGATACCAATGTTGAAAATCACATATGTAGCTATACTTCAAACTGCAATATATATATATATATATATACACTCTCAGTTTCAATGTTTCGCCTTAATTAATCCGGATTGATCCGCGTTGCACATCTGACTTTGGTGAGTAAGTCTCTCAACAAAGATTTTCTGCATACATAAATACTCAAACTCAAGAACTTGCTTAAGCGATATCAAATTGCTTACCACTCAAACCAATCTCTATTGATAAAAAGACTTAAAACTTTTTAATATTGTGTCTTCGTTTTATTTTAAAGAAAACCAAAATACAAGCGGGAAAAGATTAAAATACATTAACTTTTATTAATTATATAAAATTTTATTTAAAAATATTTTTAAATAAATATATGTACTATTATATTTTTATCTTATTTACATTATGTCTATATATATATATTCAAAAATATTTTAAACCGTAGTTAAATTATTCTAGTTCATTTAGCTTTTATGTATCATATTGCTATTTAAACTTGTCCTTTGTTTCCCTTTTTTTTCCTTATCTTTGATTGGACAAATGACAATATCAGATTTGGTATTAATGGTTGTTATTAATTTATTTATTTTTATCCTACAGCATTATTTTTCTTTTATTTTTAATAAATATATATTTATGTAACATTTTTTTTCTGTCTTTGGTATTTTTTTTTATCATTTGATCATTCTTATTGTTTATTTTTCCTAAGTTAGATTTGACATCGTCATTGATCAAGATGACACTCATTTGTTATCATGTTGATCTTTCTTATTATGTAGATTTGGATACGCAACTAACATTCGTAAATAGTTTTTTCACGATGCTTAGATATGATTTGCGTTTGTTGATGATCATTCAATATTTTAATCTTTTGTTGTGATTCATTTGTCGTAACAGTCAGATTTGTTCGTGTTTATCTTATGTTTGAATCTTTTTAGATGAGTTTTTCAACTTCTCCTTTGTATAGTCCTTATACGATATCAAATGACTAATTTCTTATATTAATAGTTATAAAGATATTTTAATTATGTATTTAGTTTACAATTATAACTATAAATCTTAATTATAAATTTAAATATATTTTTTTCTTAATAAAATTAGCTACTTTTATTTTTGTATAAAAAATCTCAAATACTTAGTTACATAAAAGTAAATTAGAAGTAAACCCTAAATTAGAAGAAAAAGAGTTAGAAAAGACAAATTAGGAGGGAGGAGTAAAAAAATGGTAATGAACAGACATTCCTTCAAACAAAACGGGAGGGCATTTCGTAATCAAGGACAGTCACACGTGCCACTCTTAAAATCGCCGAGGAGATAAAAAGCTGAAGCGTCTGATTGGTTTTCTAGTAAATATTATAGGCGTAGTAATACATAAATAAATCATCTTTCCCTCGTATTGTTGTATTTCAAAATTCAAAAAACGACCCAACAACTCTTGCCGTCCCTGCTAAATCTTCAAAAACAAAGAAGAAGGAAACCGATATTTGGATCTCCTGGATCAACATGACTTTGTGGTGAGTTTTCTTGATCTGACGCTTGTTTGCAGAGCCATGGGATGTTTCTTCGCCTGCCTTCGCGTCAGAGACCGTGGCTCCCGCCCTCACCTCGTCTCCCCCTCTTCCAAACCCGCCGTAAGTTTTTCAATTTTCTTTTTCAGTTTCCTCGCTCCTCTGTTTGGTTCCTGTGAAAATTCAGTGCAAATAACGCTTTCTTACCTTGCCTATTATATTGCTGAAGTGAAGGAAACTTGAACAAAGCTCTTTTTTTGTATTTGTTTTTGTTTGTTAGGCTAAGAAGGAACATTCAGTTTCAGGAAACCGATTATCGTCTCTCTTTCTTGACGAAGGTAAAATAAACGTAAACAATTGTGTAGCTCATAAGTCGAATTAGCTAACTTCAAAATCCCCCCCCCCCCCCTCAAATTTTATTTTTCCCTTGATTGAAATGGAATCATTTAAATTTTATTATCTTGTCTCTGTTCTAAAAGACAGAGGAGATTATCCATCCCATGATTTAAGGTCACAAAAAAATGACAAAGATCTCAAGGATGAGGTATGTTCATGGATATTTTTTTATATATATTGGTTATTTTGTATGTTCATGCGACTGCTTACCAACTCGAAACTTTCCCCTCTCGTAGGCAAAATGTCATTCCTCGCTGTCAAACACGTCCACTGATAAGTTTCAGCTGGATAAGCAACATCATCAGCCGCCAACTCCTATCAAACTTTCCGAGGTCTTGGTGACGAGGTCAGATTCCCCGGACAATATACCAAACAGGTTATAAATTTTAAGTTCTGTTTTGGGTATTTTGTTGAATGAATTGAATTAATTCCGCCTTAAATTAATTGTTTGATCTTGTGAGTCTGCTTGACAATTGACTGGTGCTGTTTCTGTTGTAGTTGTATATCAAATGCCGCAAACATTGGGAGTTTCTCCGTTGATTCTACTGAAGGCAGTGAAACGATTACTGTTGATAAAGCTGTTAAAATTGATATTGAACCAACTTCAGCTCACGGAAGGAACAAGTCTGTGCGCTTTGAATGCGAATCTGATGCTTCTTCTTCTTCTAAATATGGTGATCAAAATACAAAACAACTTGAATTACTAGCTTCTCAAAGTGCATCGAAGCCCTCGCCAAATACAACCCCATTAAAACTTTCTGATGAAATGCAAACCCCTGGAACAGCTTTTCCCTCAAATGGGAAGATTCGTATCAGGTCTGAAGATGTTCATTCGGTTTTGAATCCAGTTGAGAATGCCGTTCTGTTGAATGCAAAGAAGGAAGAGACATTTAGCTCAAAAGAGATATTTGAAGAGCTGAAAGAATCGCCTGAACGACCGGAAGAAGCCACACCCAAGGTTGGAGTAAAACAAACTTCTCTGATGAAAGAGCCAGAAGAGGAAGGAAGCTTGTCTTCTTGGTTCAAGCCAAAACAGTATACCATTGATGATCATATTAGAAATCTTCAGGCTACTTCTAGCAAAATCCCTCCTTCTGGTAAAACCCTTGTGGACAGGCCCATCATCGGTATGGTTGCTGCTCACTGGAATGAGGATAAATCTTCGCGCTTCTCACCCAAATGGTGGGATGGGAATGGAATCCCAAATTCAACTAATAAATACAAGGAGGTTGATTTTATTTATATATATTTTTCTTGATGCGTATTGTACTTGCAGTTTAGATCTCTGCTTGATGGATCTCGTCCTGTTTTCAGGATCAGAAAGTGAGTTGGCATGCAACTTCATTTGAAGAGAGGCTGGAAAAGGCACTGTCTGACGAGAGTCTCATCTCTCAGAGGTATGTTTATCATTTTTGCTTGCTGCATTCATTGTCTATGATGCTATTTTATTTTGTTTGTAAATCGATGGACAGCGGCTAAGTTTCTAATTACCTCAGCCTCTTCATAGAAAAGTACCTGGTCTAGTTAGTAGTGTCATTCACTGTATAAAATTGCTTTTTCTTATACACTTGAAATATGGAGGCCTAACCCATCATATATAAATATATATGTAATTGAACCCATTGAGTGACTTCAGTGGTAAAGGGGAGTGTTGTTCTTCAAAGGTTCTGAGTTCGAGCAGCTGCGTCTGTAGGTGTGTGCGTTGTCAATAGTCTAAGAAAATATAGTTAATATTACAGTAACATGCATACAACACGGTTCCTATAAAATTGTTGAAACACTAGTACTAGTTAGTTCCAAAGGAACAAAGTATAACCCTCTATAATATAACCAAAACTTGTTGCTCAAGCATTTACCTACTTTTGATATGAACTATTTTTGGGGTCACACTTAGGTTGGATATCTACATCTTTGACCCCGTTGTTGGAAAATGTAAACAGAGTGAAGTTATGGCTTCATGTTAAACAAGTTTGTTGAGGGCGACCTTTTTCCTGGAACATTGTAGATGAAGTTCCAACGTATTTGACAGATTCTGACAAGCAGAATTCCTATCTATTCTTCAGATGGAAGTTGAAATAATTCAATTAATTACCAACTGTTTAAACTTGGCATCAAACCAATTCTGATGGCCTATTTTAATTACAGGAATCATGTTAACCGAACACCGATGGCTTTTGACGAGAACGATGAAAGCGACACTGCTCTGTCTCAGCTGAGACATTCTCCACATTCCAAGTCAGTTATTTCATTCTGATGATTAGCACTGTTATTTTTCGTTTGAATCTCATTTTCATATTTAATTAGCATAGATGTAATTGAGCCTTTTTAAACCTGAAACAAGGGTTTAAATTCTTGAAATATCATGGCTGGTTTGTCTTGAGCGGTCCTTTTCTTGGGAATCATGCTCAGTTGGATTGGGATTTGCTTCAACTGTATATCAATGGTTATTTTGTAATACTTGTCACCATGGTATATACACAGTTTTCTATCAAAGTTGCATCAAATTGTCCTTAAAACTATATATATATAGATTTTCTTCAAGAGAGGTTTTACAGTTTTATTCTGTTAGAATGAGGAAAACCGTTAACACCATTCGTCTTACCAGATTACAAGAGGCAAGCTAGAAAGTTATCTCTATAGTTAATTTTAGTTGATATTTACGACTCCTATGTGAATTTGTTAGTAAACTTTTCAATTGACATCAGGGTTCGAATATTTAATTTTATTTAATTTTAAATTATTTTTATTATAGATACGATATAATTAAAAGATATTATATAAATTTAAAGATTTAAAAATCAAATAGATATTTATTATAGATTTTGATTTGAATATTTACTTGGTTCAATTTTGTAAAATCTAAAATATTGTACATAACCATCTTGCTCACCTCATTATTCAGTTATGTAGATGATTGGATCTTCAATCTTAACCATTGTATTTCATGATTAGTCGTTTACCTAAATAGAAAAAGGCTTAATGTAAAAAATACGCTAAGTATATATAAAGTTAATTTTAGTTGTTTAAAGAATTTTTTGTTAAAAATAGGTGTTTAACATTTCTAATAATATATTTTTAGAAGTCTGTCGTTAAATTCGACCATTAAGTGATATGTATCAGACTTATAAAAATTTAATTTTTTTAAAAAATAAAATTTATTTATGAAAAAACCCAAGTTTTTCTTAAATCTAAAAAAATAAAACTCTAAAAACCCTATTTCTAAACCCCTTTACCCAAATCGGTCATCATCAATATTGCCTTGGTTGTTGCCCTTTTCAATCGGCCACTTCATCTAATTGGGTTCCAACCAATGACATGAGGAATCATCGTTTGAATCGTTGTGATCATTGCCCTTAGTCGAAATCAATAAATTGCTACAATTGTTCATTTTTTTGTTACAAACGTCGTTTGAATCATGGGGGTTTGGCTGTTGGGTGTTCGGACGGTCGGATGTCGTCGAGATTTCAATCGATTGGCAGTGGTTGTAGCAACCAGTGTGGTGAGGGAATTGAAATTAGGGTTTTTGGGATTTTGATATTTTTTTATTATTTCAAAAATATTTGATTTTTTTAAAATAACTTTTTTTAAAAAATTATATGCTTTACACGTTTGAGATAACAAATAAATTTAACGACAGTTACGATTCAGACAACTAAATAGTTTAGGTATAGTTTAGACACTTAATTTTACATTAAACTATAAAAAAATGAAGAAATGAATTTACTATTATTTAAAATTATTATTACAAACAATGAATATCCTAATTTTGATTACAATATTATTATACGTTAACAATGATTTTCCTCAAAACCAATTTTAATCAAATTAAACCACTATATTACAACGAAATAATGCACATTTGTAAATATAGAAATAGGTAAATTATATAAATAGTCATTAATATTTGAGTAATTTTTATTTTTCTTACTAAAATTTTAAAACTAACAATTTGATCATTAATATTATCGTTTTATAATAAATCGATTCTTTGACATTGACATCCATTAATGCGATTGACAGAAATCTTATGTGGCCCGTTAACTATTTATCTGGAAATGTTGATCTTTATGTTAGAGAACCCATTGAATTGACCGATCAACTCTTTAACTTTAAATAAAGAAAATCCACGTGAAATCCAACTTTCTCTTCTTTTACAGACTCATCTAGGATGGGCATGAGTCGGGATTGGGCCAACCCGACCCGATCTGAAAATTTTACATCATCTACCCGACCTGAAAAATATATACCTTCCACTGACTCGAATCCAACCTGACTTTTTGAGATAAAATCTGAACTTGACTAGACCTGAAATAATAATAATAAAAAAGTATTTTTATTCAATAAAAATAGTAATTTAATTGAAAAAATAATATATAAAGGGATATTATTGTAATTATTTATATATATATAAGATAAAATTATATTTTTTTCGGGTTTAGTATTTTTTACCCTAAACTCGAATCCGACCCGAACCTAATTTTTTAAAAAATCCGTTCCAATCGGTTCAGAACCTGTAACATCCTAAATGACAGGTTAGTGACTAAATTGTAAACATTCAGAATTTGGTGATTAAAGTAAAAATAATTGTTAGTAAATATGAAATGAATTTAAGGACAAAATGGTCATTTGCAAGGAATAATAATTAAAATTTTTTTAGGCTATATTATAACCCACGTGGGGCATTAGTAGGAAACAAATGTTTCCAGAATCCTCTCATCTCTTCTTCCTTCTTTCTTATCTTTACTCTTCTCTTCTTCCAAACGTGAAGACCCAAGTTTAAGGTAAGAATCTGAACCTTGGTAGTTTCTTTGATTTTTAACTTGAAAATTGAAGTTTGGATGTTATATAAGCTAAAGGAAAGCTTATATGACATTAAGACAACAAGATAAGTGTTTTAGAGATAGATTTGGAAAATGAGTTTTTAGATGAAATTTTGATATGGATGAGTTTTTGAAGGTTGAATAAGATTTTTGACTTGTCATCAAGCTAACTAAGAAGTATGAGGTGTTAGAATTCAAATTAGAACATGTTGGAATTTGGGTTAGATTCTTAAATTCTACATGGAGAATTAGATTTCTAAGTTTTAGAAGTATTTAATGGATAATAATTAGTTTAAGTAAGAGTATGCAAGTTAGGAAATAAGAAAGGGGATATATGAGGTATTAAGCTGAAAAGAGTGGATTTTCGGGCATAAAAGAGGATTCTGGGCAGAGTGCATCGATGCACATTGCATAGTGCATCGATGCACAAGTTTAAAACCCAGAAATTATTTGAAGGTGTATCGATGCATTTGTAATGCATCGATGCACGCTTTTAAAATAGAAACATCGAATGCAATAAGTGCATCGATGCATAAGTCATGCATCGATGCATCCCAGTAATAATACAACATCGAATGCATTTTATGCACCGATGCATCAGTAGTGCATCGATGCATACCTTCATTAAAGGATGAAATTGGATTTTCTCTGAGTCTAAGGAATGATAGGTTAGAATATATTAATTATTATACTGATAAGTATCATTGAATTACTATGTAGATATCGAGCCTAACGATTCAGGAACAATCAAGAGTTAGGATTGAAACAACGAAAGCGAGGCCAAGGTGAGTGCCTATTTTAAGGGTAGTACAATGGAATAAGACTTGTGATAAGTCTAATCCTATGTTGATTTTTATAGAACAATAGTTATGAACATGCATATATGATAATTATTATGATACATGCATAAGGTCTATATATGCTCATATTTGATAAATGATATATGTGATAAATTCAAATGTATATGTGTTATGATAAGTGACATGAGCACAGGAACATATGAAATATAAGAATGATGCCCATAGTATACGATATGAGAACTATAGGTATAGTTGGCATGCAAAGAGTCGAGGGTTTCATAGGTCCTTCGGGACAACTCATAGGTCCTTCGGGACAAATTCACAGGTCCTTCGGGATAAATTTCATATGCCACTCAGTGGGACTTATACGAGCTGTGGTGACAGCATAGTGCACAACCTCATTTACTCGAATACCTTGAGTTCTCAGTAATGTACATGGGCTATAGAAAATTATCAAATGTAATTGCATTATTATTGCTAAATGTTATATCATTGAATGAATAGATTACATGTTCATATTTATAAGGAATACATCATCATCATATTCATATGCCTCACTAAGTCTATGACTTAGCGTGTAAGTGATTTACACGTAGGTACAGAAAAGTAAGAAGATCGATCTTAAGAACAGCAACGCTGCATACCATCATTAGGGGATCAAATCAGAAGTGAACCACAAGTATATTTTTGTTGTATAAAGTATGTTGGATGTAATAAGTTGTTAGTTACGAACGCTCTGATCGACTTTTATAATGTTTTGAATGTAATTATATAAGTGTATAGTATGAATGGTTGAATTTGTTTACGAATTTTAAGTGCATTGTTTATACAATTTATTGTTCGCAATACATTTTTTTTACCTTAAAATTTTATACTTAATATTTTAATAATATGTTATCTTATTTTCCTAAAAGAAGTTCAAATGTTTTGTTATTTTATAAGGAAAATTATTTTGAAAAGGTAATGTCACATCTCGGACTCGTACTCGGGTCGGGTACGGGTTAGGGGTGTTACATTTAATGGTATCAGAGCCACGGTTTAGTCGATTCTCGTATAAACCGGAGTCTATAGTGTTTATAATGTACATGCCAACAAAATAGCGAAAACTTCTGATTTGGTATGGTAATGAGTATGTTGTTTTGCTAATAGAATGATATGTTTATTTTTAATAGATGTCCGCATAGTTCTCGAAGTCAAGCGGGAGATGATCAACCCGCTGAAAGTAGTAATTCACCTGCCCTGGCCAGGCAAGGTGAAGAACAGACACCTTCTAGAGTGCCTGTAGCTGATCAAGATATGTTCTTTAGAACGTTAGATGCAGTATTGATGCGTTTCCAACCTCCTGTTACTTCAACTCCAAAAATGAATGTTGCAAAGGAGTTGAAGGGTTTAGGAGCTCCAGAGTTTAAATGTGAAGCCGATGAAGGTCCTGTTGCTGCGGACCTTTGGCTTAAAGATGTGAAAATTATGTTAGAAGGACTTCATTGTTCTGATGTTGAGAAATTGGACGGGATGGTCTCTTTGCTGCGTGGGCAAGCAAGAATTTGGTGGACAAATGTCGCTTTGAGGATGACCAGTGATCAAGTGACATGGTCTCTGTTCCTGGAAGAGTTTCGGCATAAGTTATAGGAGACCAATTCATCAAACAAATGAAGCAAGAATTTTAAATTTGAAACAAATGAATCGCACTGTATATGAGTATGAGTGTGAATTTAATAAGTTAAGTCGCTTTGCAGCAGAGTTGGTGCCTACAGAGAATTCCTGTGAGTGGTTTGTTGAGGGCTTACGTCCAAGGCTAAAAGAAATGTTGATTGTATTGAATCTGTCCTCATTCCAAGAAGTAGTAATCGTGCTAAAG